TTTGCATGATAATTTTAATTATTTGTCGGTTTTATGGGGTAAAACATGGAATGTTCTTTGTGCTTCCACACAGGAACTGTCTTTTGGGTTTCACAAGACCACAACGCAAACTACGACAGGGATTACGCCGGAAGCTGGCTCCTGGCACCGCTGTCATCGAATATTCTTCTCCAATGGAAATGGCTCATTATGGCAACTGCCTTAGAAAATTAAAGTGATTTAAAAATCCCTTGATTCATAATTATTTGGGTCAGATCAGGATCAGGAGGGGAGGTGGGCGGTCCCAAGTTAAAGAGCAATTTTTTATTCAGAATTATTTGAATCAGATCGGGATCGGGAAATGGGCAGGCCCGATTTGAAGAGCCCTAGAATCACCATGATTCTCTAGTTTGTTCGATGTTTTTTAGCTTCTTTGTTGCTTGTAGGTCTAATGCACTTGGGAACTGCATGAGTCGGATTGGGTGAACCGGAATTGAACCTCTGGCAATTCAGGACATGCTTCCGATTTTTCAATCACTAACCGTGTGGTATAGTGTTCTTTTTCTAGCTTTTTGTTTTGCATTTTTTTTTATTCTTTCTTGTCTTCTAACATTTTCAATTTCCATTTTGAATGCTGGTTCATTTATTAATCATCAAAGGAAATATTGTTATCTATGGAATAGAATCACCGGTTCGTGAAAACTAGGTCGAGCTCAACTCAGACTCACCCTAGCAATTGAACCTCAACAAGATACTGAGTTCAAAACCAAACCCACAAGAACCCTCCTAAATCTGGCCAATTCTCAATATTTTAACATATTTTTAGGAGTTAGCCAAACGTAGCCAAGCCTGCCAGACCTAACTCAGGCACGGGATCCGAGCGAGCTCGGGATCCTTGTTTTAAAGCATCCTGATGATGATGTATACAATGGGGTTCCAAGTGGAAAAACTGTTTCTTCTTGCATTTTTTAAGTTATGGAAAATCCAATTCTCACCGAACATGGCCATGCTTGGGTCCATGGTCTAAAAAGAAGGGAACTCTTCTCCTCAACCTTGTCTTTTGGACATGTCCATATAATGGTAGGGCCCTCCTAAGTCATAACACTATCAGAGCAACATAGGGAAGGGACAATTGATTCTCAAAGTAGTTTTCCCCCTCCTAAGACTTGATTTTTCATCAAAACATAGCACTACTTCTAAGACATTACTTGTTACTAAAGACTATAAAGCTTCTAACAATTGAGTGATAATTGGGTACATGGTCTCAAATTTGTCTACCTATGGTGGGGTATAGGGCTCAAAATTTTATTCCTGTCTCACCTTAGTTCAGCAGAAGGAATTCAAGGAACAAAGTATAGAAAAATAAAAGATATCATGGGTCAAACGCAAATATACATTTACCCACATCATGTGCTGTTGGACTCAGTTTCTATGGGTCCTAGTACTTATATGCGCATATGCGTCCTCTCTTCAAAATCTATTTTTGAAATGAATTTTGGACCTAATCTTTTAGATATATGATTTTGACATGGAGATCATGAATATGTAAAAACTAAATGAAATTTAGAAGCTAAAAATGATAACTTTTTGAAAAAAATTTTATAGACCATTGACTTTTATCCTTTTCAGAGGGACCACCACTTAATATCCATTTATCTTTAATGGAAAAAATTTATATAAGATTGCAACCCTAACCTTAAAATGTAGAATTGAGGTGCACCTCAAAAATCCATCATGAAATGTTGTTTTGATGTGGAAAACCCTCTAATTGATCATCCCGACATCGAGATGTATAAATATGAAAAGAAAAAACGATTTCGAGACCTAAAAATAGTGTATCTTGCAACACATTATTTGGACCATCAATTTTCAAGATTTTCAAAAATTTTATAGATCTACTTGATTTGAACTATTTTTGGAGTTCAAGCTTTTATAATTAAAGATGAAATTAGCTTCTCAAACCATCCTAAGATTATTTTACACCAAAAATATATTTATGATGAAATTTGGAAGTCTGCCTTAGTTTGATTGTTTAAAATTGCAACCTTATACAAACCACACCCTTAACATCTTTAATATGAATGTTTTATCCCTCTCTAACTGTAGAAATGCGGCGCCCCTTCAAATGGCTATTGAAGATCTCACAATCATGTTTGCAAAATTGTTTATTAATCAGCTTTCTAAACGTCTGTTATGGATTACCCAAATTTACCTAGCCCAAAAGGAAAAATCTCTTAGGTACCTCCTTTCTTTCGCTTTAAAAATAAAGGAAAGTAGTGACGTTTTTTAGAATATTTTTTATTTTTTATTTTATTTTATTTTTTTAACGTTTTTTTTTAGGGTTTCTTAAATGTTTTTTCGATCATGCAGCCTGCTAGTGCTATGCACGGAAATTGATAGAGAGCTTTCTTTATGGATTTTGGTTTTGGGCATTTATTTATTTATTTTATTCAAGATATAATAGAGAAAATTAATATTCTTAAAAATAAAAACTATATGTGATTATTTTATACTAATGTTATTCAAATTGATCATAAAATATAGTTAATATAAAAGCTCAGATGATGATTTAAATTGATCACAAAATACAAAAAACTTGAAACTAGAGCTATTATATTCTCATAAGCAAAAGTATCTCGTCCACATCTTATAACGAAAAGTATCCTGTAATAATCTTAAAAAAAAAAATTTTTAAAAAAAAGAAAAGAAACTTTTAATAAGTGATGGTTTATATGAGCATAATAGTCTTAGGGACCATCACTACTGTCAAAAGCTTTTACCTTAAGCTTTTCCTTCTTTGCCAGGGCGTGGTTTTCAGGTGTTAAAAGTGGTTAACTACGCCACACCTCATACACATGACGGAGGCGTTTTAAAGAAATTAATTAGGACAAAAGGTAAAACTTCGTCTAACAACTCATTTCACGCTCTTCCTCTTACAAACAGAGTGAGCTCCTCCCTCTAGTCGAATTTTTATCGGAAGCTCATTCTCAAATATTTTAGGTAAGTGACTTCATTATCTTGAAAAATAATCCGTTCTTTTTAAAAATGAAATGAAATAAGTATTTCTGCTTATTATCATGAATTTTAGGCGCGATAAATTTTATGCGCAAGCGATCTTATTATTTTGAAAAATAATCTTTTTAATAAAATTGTGATATTTTATCTATGTTAGAAATCTTAAATGCTGTAAATTTTTAGAAAAATAAATTTATTTATTTTTCTTGTTTATTGTTAGAAAATTTTAGATACTGTAAAAGTATTAAAAATAAATGTGATATTCCTGCTTTTAGTAAAATTGTGAGATTTCTTTCTACTGTTTTTGAATATTTAGACATTGTAAATTTCATGTACAAATGACTGCCTTATTATTTGAAAACTGATATTTTACAATTGATTATAGAATTGTCTGTGAAATGTTTATTTACGAATTAACATCCCATAATAATTCTGTATTCTTGAATTTCTATAAGAATTTTTCTATACATATTAGATTGGCAATTATGCTAAAATGGCTTTACGAACTGCTACTTTTCTAAATTTGAGCCGAAAATATTCGACTGGATATTTTTGAAATGTTATTGAAAGTGACTGTTATTAATGGTTTCAGTGAAATTCATATTAATAATTTCAGTGATATGTTGAATACATGATATTGCTGCTTTCGAATGTTTAAAGAGATTTAGAAATACTTTAAGTATGCAAGTGGACACATCCGGTTCGCCGGTGAGGTATAAGTGGACCTATCCGGTACGTCAGTAAGGATTAAGTGGACTCAGCCGGTACGCCGGTGTGGTATAAGTGGACCTGCAGGGATTAAGTGGACCTATCTGGGACGCCGATAGGGATTAAGTGGACCCATCAGGACGCTGATGGGGTATATAGGTGACCTACTTGGGACGCTAGTAGGATATTTTGTGAAATCTTTTGAATTATGGATGGACGTTAAAATGTTATACGCATTTCAATTATTCGAATTATACTTAATTATGCATTTTTGAAAGTAAAATTGTTGATGCATTTCTATTAATAGATCTCTTTTTTTAAAATATTGATACTTTCAACCATGATTATTTGTAGGATTATGGTGATCACTTACTGAGTAGCCAAACTCATCAAATTGAGGTAAACATTTTTTCAAGATAACTGCGGTTTCATTTTGAGTGCTTGTCAGAATCAACTCTGGAAGATATTGTAATTGTGCTTAAACTTGTAAATTTGTCCTATCAAGAGATGTATATATGTATTGACTGTCACATCTCAGGAATATCAGTATTGTAAATTCTTAGGGCGGGACATATCCCTTCCACATGATGTGGACAAGTGGTAGGGTATTTGTTTGAGATTTCACAAGGCCCTATCAAATGGCCAATAAATGATTTCATATTTTATTTCATTTTTAAATAAAATATATTTGAATTTTAAGGTGTAGGTTAATTTTAATAAATAGAATTATATAATAAAATATGTTGAATAAAAACCACATTTGATGCCAGAAAACCTTGTGATGTTTAGGGATCCATTCCCACCAATTATGGAATTTCATGCTTTAAAAATAGTACAAATATAGTGGATTTTATGAACACTTGAAATGAATGGTCAAGAAAATTATTTACTAGTTGATCAGTTTTAGGTCGAATCCGTCTTTTTTTTTCCATATCCATAAATATCATGGCGGAGATATCGATTTACAAGTTTTTGAAAGCGAGAACTATATTTTCCAATGAAGTTTGGTGCCGATATATAAAATCTCTCGACTTTACAAAATATGTTTCCTCAAGTAATATGGTTTCCTTGAAGCCATTGTACACTATAAGGCCATTATATTTGCCAAGTGTTTTTTTTGTACACTATAAGGCCATTATATTTGAAAAGTGTTTTTTAGCTTGGTATGCATTACTACGTTCAAGAGAAAAAATAAAAAAATGGAACTTTGGACCTAGTCCAAGGCGTACTACAAATTACTCCAACTGGTCATCTTGACTTCGAGATGTATAG